GGACATCTCCACACGACACACTGGGGGTCAGTTCTGATGGTGCAGCACGTTCGAGCAGCAACACGGACGCGCCCAAGACAGTATCAGGGCAGCGAACGGAAGTAGCAGCACTCCTTGGAGGTGTCCAAACTCTACAAGAAGCAACAGAACTACAGAAGCGTATCGTCTCATGCAATGCTATTTTTGAATCATTTGGAAACGCTGCCACCAGAAGAAATCACAACAGCAGTCGAATTGGCCGGCTCACGCTCCTCCATTTTGACGGCGGAGGCCTTCTGAGGGGTGGGAGTTTGAGGACATACTTACTGGAAGCGTCCCGCATCACGGCACACAAAAGAGGCGACAGGAATTTCCACGTTTTCTACCAGCTATTGCGAGGTACGGAAAGCATTTACCATTGGTAGCCTGCTTACCCCACTGCACAGTGGTCCTCCAATTGGTTCCCAACAGGAGCCTCCGGTTTAAAGTGGCAGTATTAGCAAATTTCATTGAGGTTCCATTGAAGGCGCACACTGCATGAAAGTCACTCTTCCTATTTCAACTTCCTCCAGGCACGGCTGACGATCTACGGAGGTCTATGAGGCTGTCAAATGACGAGGAAGCGTATCGGATCTTGAGGCCTGTAGAAACCCACAATTTCCTGCAGAAGCTTTTCTCCAAAGAGCAGCATGCAGCCCGCCGAAGCGAGGTGGACGCCGTGGAAAGCAATGTTCAGGTTCCCCCTGATGTCGATCAGGTCAGACAAGCCTATATCCGTGCGACTTGGATCCCACAAATTCAAATTCGTGCTGCATATGACACGTGAGGAGATGCGTAGGAAAATGCCCCAGTCGGTCTGCTCGTCGGTTCCATTCCGCTAACGAGAGTTGCAGAAAGCCGCATTTTCGAACGGTATGCACTTGTATTTCTCGTGGTGTGTTCGCGTTCCTGAACAGGAAAATTTTGAGTTAATGATGAAAGGATTCGAGCTTGCGGAGTTCTCAGCTGGTGAAATCACTGAATTGCTGCATTTGCTGGCGGGGCTTCTTCACCTGTCCAACGTTTCTTTTATGAAGGACGAAGACGACATTTTGCAGCTTGAGGATACAGCGTCCCACGAGGCACTCAATAACGCGTCTTTGCTTCTTGGGCTGCAGGATGAGAAGCTCAAAGTTTTGCTGCAGTGTCGCTGTATGCACCTCAAGGGAGATGCCCTGTTCACACACAGAAATGAGCAGCAAAGCGCCTGTGCCCGCTCTTCGCTTATCAAGTTCATCTATAGCCGCCTTTTCGACCACATAGTGAATCGACTAAACGACAGCGTTGCACAGCACCTAGCAAATCCTGAACCGCAGGAAGGAGGAAGCATACCAGCAAGCAAGACAATTGGGAGTAAGCATTGGCCATTAAGGCACGCGGTACCAATCATACATCTCACACTGCCTTGGACGCCCACCCCATTTCCTTCCTTACTGGTTAGTGACGTTTGTTCATACTTGGCACGATGCATTGAATTTATGTCCAGTGCCATAATACGTGTTCACGAATGTGCGTACAAAACGCTGCGTGAAAAAGACTCCTACATATAACTTGTTTTGCTGCCGTGACATTCAGTACTCGACATATACGGGTTTGAGTCCTTTGGACTGGAAAATGGACTGGAGCAGCTCTGCATCAACTACGCGAACGAGAAGCAACAACAGCTCTTCGTCCAGCAGGTCATAGAGGAAGAGGTGGCCCTGTACACTAGAGAAGGAGTCACGAGCCCGGCAGTTGCAGCAAGAAACAAGGCCTCTCATCAGCGCTCCAACGCAGAGCAGGAGACAGAACAGCATCTGACAAGCGAAAAAGCAAAACCGCCGGGGTCGTTCAAGGCAGATCTTGAGCTCAGTCTCCTCTCGAGCTTGCCCGACACCTCCGCATTGCTTCGCGATTT